AAAAAAAAAAAAGAAAAGAAAAAGAAAATCTCGCGGAGAACATTAATGGATTCCTGTTGTGTTTAAATTCTCTACAGATTCTCTCGTAAATATTTGATGAAATCCGGTAGATGTGCGTGTGCGTGAGTGTGTGGCCGTGAATTTCTCTCCAGTTGTAGCCAGCTGACCTTTGCTCAGCAAGCCGAGCTGGCGATCCGCCTCCTCCCAAGAACAGCCCCGAATTTCCCTCCGAGAGCGATTTTTGCCTCCAGAAGACGCCGGCGCGCTTTGCTTTCTCTCGGCACCGGGGAGAAATCACCTGGAAGGAACTGGGGAGCGCCGGCTCTGCCTCCCGTGCTCGCTCTCCTCCCCGTTTTCACTTTTTTCTGGCACTTTGGGATGAGCTTTGGCCCCGCTCCCTTCCCGCGTCCCGGCCGCGGTAAAGCCGCTCCCGCACGACCCTCGCGCTTATCGGATTAACGGGATCTGTTCCGCCGGGCCAGGAAGCCGAGAGTTGAGGCTAGCAGCGACAAAATTCACTCGGGGCACTGGCGCAGGACCAAGCTCTCGGCGGGGTTCAGCCCGCGCCCGTTTATGTTGGTCCCCGGAGAGCGGCTCGCCGAGGAGTTGCGCTCGCGTAGCCGCTTGCTAGGAACTCAGCGGAGGTGTTGTGTGGCTCTAAAGGCTTGTTGTGATGCGTATCCCCGTAGATACCAGCACCAGCCGCCGCTTCACGCCGCCCTCCACCACGCTGAGCCCGGGGAAGATGAGCGAGCCGCTGGCGCTGCCCGGCGCCGAGCACAGCGGGGCTTTGCCGGGGAAGCTGCGCGCCGCCGACCGCAGCATGGTGGAGGTCCTGGCGGATCACCCCGGGGAGCTGGTGCGCACCGACAGCCCCAACTTCCTCTGCTCCGTGCTGCCCACGCACTGGCGCTGCAACAAGACGCTGCCCATCGCCTTCAAGGTAGGTGCTGGGCAGGGCTGGCTGGGGAAGGGGGGAAACAGCGGGGGAAGGATGCGGGGATGGGGGCTCGGATGTGCTCCCGGCTCGCTCTGCGCTTCCCTCCTTCCATCCTTTCCC